AAGTATGTAGTACATAAATTATCGAAGTGCGATGGAACCCATAGTCACTGTACTTAAACCGTAATCTCGTTTGTCGTGTCATTCATTTGTCGTGTGATTCGTTAAACTTTGTCGTGATTAGTATACATTTAATAGAGTTAAAGCAAAAATTATCGAAGTGCGACGGAATCCATACTAGACTATTAGTACTTAAACCATCCGTGTGCTTGCCGTAAATGTCCCACTTCGATTGAGTTTCAATAAATTAAGGGAAGTCACAATGTCATCTAAAAGAGGTCCAACTCAATGCTGACTCAAAATTGAGCAAGGTATAAAGAAATGGACAGTTCAACAATTCATGTTGTAACCGTAACGACTTTTAAGTTACAAAATTGATGGAAGTGCAATGGAATCCACACTTAATCCATCATGATCAGTAAGTGATTATGATCAGTAAGTGATTGCCTTGAATCTCCAGTTTAGATTCAATTTATAGCTTCTCAATTGCATTCTTCGGGTTCATAAGTTCCATTGAGGTCCAAAATATAGCGATTTTAACATGAAATTAATAGCGTGCGAGTACCAATTTAAAATATAATGTCCTATTTTAACGAATAGCATGTTGTTGTTCTTTGTCTTCAACTACTGTATCTCTATCTATGTTGTGAGAGTGTCGGGTTGAAAAGTTTCAATTGAGCAGTTCATCCATCGAGCGGTCGAGTGTTGCTTACCTGTCGTCGTCTTGAAATCGTCCTGTCTCGCCCGAGGTCCTCCACCGAGGGGGCAGGAAGGTATCCCCACCCTCGGGGCCCCAAGAGAATCCCGGGTCTGACACGACCTGTTATGTTGACCCGCTGGTCCTTTGATTCTGCTCGCCTGTTGCTGTTGTCGCCCTTTGGTTCTGCTCGCCTGCTTTCCGTTGTTACCTGGCACCTTATTGTATCGTCGACATATCCACTCTCACGGTCGTCTCTCTCGTTCTCGCTGCCGCCTGCCCCCCTTCCTTCGCGAGGGTCTGTCCGCCGTCTCTCCTGCTGGTTCAGCTTGACGGCGGTCCTCGCATAATTTTTAGGAATCCCTCTCGCCTTCCGGCCGCCCTCCTTCTCTCTCCTCCCTCCCGTCTGTCCTCCACGCCCACTTTGTAAAGTTGGCCCTCCCGCCTTCCCCCTTCTCCCTCCCTCTCGCCTATCCTCCACTCCGTCCACGTGGAGTTGACACCATACCTCGTCAGGGCCTGTCGAGGGTCAGCGCACGGGCTTGCAATGAGACATCAATCCTATCAGGCGAAACCCTAAATCATGATGTAATGTGTATTACAATACTGTGATTTGTATCTGCTAGAAATCGGGTCCAGCATCCCTATACCATGTTGTGTATCTATATCCAACAGGCAGAAACTAATGACCTTTGTGCAATGAAAAGATATCAAAGAAGCAATACACTCTATCCTGTATATATACTCAACCTGTATCTTGAAAAAGAACAGAGGCATTGATCACTCCCCTACAAAAGGGAGGATTGACCTCCCTTTCATGAGCTATTGTTCGTAATCAAGGATTATTACTTTCTGATGTCCTATATGCTGGCAGAATTATCATTGTCCCCCCCCTACAAGCGATCTTCAAATCCGCCAATAGCAGACCGAGCTGGCTATGCCCTGACCTATCTCCCCTCCTGATTGAAGTTGCAGAAAGCAACTCCAATCAGCAATCTCATCGAGGGGGAGCATCAAACCACCGCCCACCCTATACTATCCAAAGAAGAGGAGATGAACTCAGAGTATACCATCAGTTTGAGGGGCGACCCACCCCCTCCTCCATTGAGGTTACGGACCAGGCAACCCCAATCAACCAAGGGGGCGGGCAGACTCAACTATCCTATCCCAACCCGATGCCAGCCAAGGAGGAGCAAGCGATGGTAGGGTTTGAGGGAGGGGGGAAATATTAATCCGTTTCTTCCAACCCTAATCCCATCCCTATCCACCCCATCCCTCGCCCCCCGTACAACTGATAATAGCGGATGCACGCACCTTGCTGCTGAGCATGCTGCTGACTCAATCTCCGCTATCAATGATGAATCCGACATTGATACTATCATTATAGCTCTCATTGTTGTTGTAGCATCCTCCCCTCTCTTTCCCTCTGTTCCCGTGGTTGTCGTTGCCGCCATCGTCACAATTATGGTTGATCATGTTGCTGTTGTTGTTGTTGTTGTTGTTGTTGTTGTTGTTGTTGTTGTTGTTGTCGTCGTTGTTGTTCTCGCCATCGTTGTTAATGTTGCTGTCATCCTTCACACCCCCTTCGCCCATTTCGCCCAATCCCAATCCCTGCGCACCATCATTTTTGTTATTGTTGCTATGGTTGATATTGTTGTTATTGTTGTTGTTGATGTTGTTGTTGTTGACGTCTCCATTATCTTCCGCGCCCACCTGCAGTATCACTCCCATCATGTTGTAGCCTTGGACGTCGCCCCCCCCATCATTGTTATTGTTGACACCATCCCCATCCTTGATGTCGCTGTAGCTGATGTTGTTGCTGTTATCGGTGTTTTCGCCGTAATCATCTTCACTTGCCAGCAATCCATACCGAAACTCCAACTGATTGCGTAGATCTCGCCCCAATGCTAAGAGGGTTCTGCAGGCAGCCAACCTGTCATCCGCCCGCCTCCAGTCGATGTAGACTTCAAGCCGGGGATCCGGCCCCTCCTCCAGCTCCCACAAGATGTCTAACAACTCCTGAATCCTATCTTCCAACCACTGGTCCATCGAGATCGCATCGATCTCCCCCCCTTCATGCTGCCGCTGCATAAGCAACCCCACTATCGTCTGCATCTGCTTGCATCCCTCCTCCAGTGTGGTAATCCATTCTTCTGCTTGTTGTTGCAGCTTCCCTACCAAATCCATCTCTCCCCCCATTAGCTGCGCCACTCACACAGTTCTACTGAACCCCTTGTAATCCCACGGCTGGCGCTACCCCTGCTGACGTGTCACAGGACATCAGTGTTACCAAACAACAGGCGCCACGTGGCCACAAGCCACTTCACACCTATCGGGCACGTGCGCAGGCCCAGCAGCCGGGGAGCTGTTCTCCCCAGGCGCTGGTCGAGCTGGGGTGACCGAGCCCTACCGGTCCGCCGGCGTCGGGGCGCTAACGCTAGAGCAGCCTCCCACCCAGGTCTTGGCTCACTTGTCCCCTGTATAACCTTAGGAGTAGTGGTAGGTTCTGAAAATAAAGACGTGTTCCATGACATGGCAGAACACCATTTAATTTTTTTTTTTTTTTTTTAACAAAGGCTGACAACTCATATATTTCAAAAACAGGCAATTGAGGCCAGGATCCTCAATTAATTAAAAACAATCGCCAGTTAAAAACGCCCAGCTGGCTGACTGAACTGCAGTTCCAAACTCCGCTGTGCGACTTTTACAGAAAAGTCACACAGCGGAGTTTGGAACTGCAGTTCAGTCAGCCAGCTGGGCATTTTTTTACTGGCGATGTTTTTAATTAATTGAGGACCCCCGACTGCATAGTAAATTCCCCACGGGGCTGGAATTAAAAACTGCAGTTTGAAATGCATTTAGATACTCAAACCATGACTGCGCCCTCATTTTCTCTTAAAGAAAAAAGAAAACCGAGCTACCTAGAGCTATCCGTCTAGCTTAGTTGGTAAGGCACAAAAGCAGGCTGAGCACTCAGGAGGTCGCGGATTCAACTCCTATTGGCCTTATCAGGCCCTCGCGAACACTCCTGAGCATTGCTGGTGTGATCTGTCTAGTGAAGGGGATGGAGCTCCTTTTTTCTCCGTTTCAACTGAATCATTCATATATTACGAAGTAAAACAAGATGAGGCCGGGATCCTGACAGTCTACCCAGAGAGCCATCATCTGTGGGAGCACTACGGTTTTAGCTGATGGGGATTACACCCCTGAGAGGACCAGCCCTCAGAAATTGACAGAGAGTTTGAAAAAAGGGCAACGGCTCATCTCTCGCACCCAGTGTTTCTAATAGGCAACTTTAGAAGTTCTTGAAGCAGGCCAAAAAAAAAAAGCTGCAGCTAAATCTTTATTCACGCCACTTCCAAAAAAACGCCCCGGTTGCAACACCCCGCTAAACTTGCACATTTTGAAACTCAGACAATGACATGGGCACCACTTTGTCTGTCTTGCCCATTTCTACTCAGGAGCAGTTTCCTCGGATGAAAATTCTGCCGCTAACTCAGGAGCAGTTTCCCCGGATGGCAATTCTGCCCTGATGTAAACTCACCCAACAGTGCAAGATAATTGGTGGAAAGCGCGCACGCCAAAACCTTTTCGGTTTTGGGCACCCAATGTTCGGCCGTTTGGTAATACCAGCCCAAACAACTTCCCCTGGGTGAAACACGCCTTCGCGCCACCCCAGATCCGTTAGCCATTTTATAAGGGACAATGAATCTGGCTCTGTTTCTGCACCAGATTCATGAACTGGTAAGGCAACTCTTTTTCAAGATACAGTATTTACGGGTACCACCCTTGGTCTGTTTTACATTGGAAAGAGTCCGGCCACAGATCTGTTGGCCAGTTTATAAGGGACAATGCTGGCTCTGTTTCTGCACCAGATTCATGAACGGGTATGGCAACTCTTTTTCAAGATACTGTATTTAGGGGTACCAACCTCGGCCTGTTTTACATTGGAATTAGTCCGGCGCTGTTTATGTGCCAGATTCATGATCCGGTAGGGCCCTTGGACAGACAAGTGGGGTGGTAGTACCCCACATTGCAACTTTTGGGCATGTGGTACCAAGGGGCTCGTTCGACACTCCTCGGGCGCGTAAAGTCCTCGAGGAATTATTCGTTCCACCTATCCTCGGGGATGCAGTCGGCAAAAAAAAAGTGAAAACACTCAGAAGGAAATTCCTTGGGCTCCGAGGATTCCCCAGCCATTTCTTCCGTTTGCCCAAGGGACCTCACGAGGTCCCTTGGGCAAAAGGAACCCGCATTTCACGGAGAGGAGCGGGCACATGGGTAGAGTGACGTTACAACCAAGAATCTGGATCGTGGCGGCACCCTATTTGCTGAAGGCCTCAAACACATTTTTTTTTTTTTTTCTTTTCTTTTTTCTTGTCTGACATTGTTTGAAGGAAATGTCCTCGGGCGATGTCTCCGAGGACAGGTGGAACGATGGCAGGAATTTCCTTGAAAACCCCCAAGGAAACTTCCTTCGGCCCCAAGACGCCCCAAGGAGTGTCGAACGAGCCCCCAGATGGCCGAACTTCAGGCACCCAAAACTGAAAAGGTTTTGGCATGGGCACTTTCCACTAATTATCCCCAACGCTGCCGCTAACTCAGGGCAGCGGCTATGAAACACCCGCGGACGTGTCCGCGGGGTCCAGCTCGTATACGGCCGCGTCCGCGGCCGACCTGGTCCGCGCCGCGGACGCAAATTTACCATATTTTTCCTGAGTTAAATAATGGGTAAAAAAATAAAAACAATATATGGGGTTGTAGGGATTTTTAATCCCTACAACCCCTTTTTTTTTTTTTTTGAAAAAAGATACGTTTTTAGAATTATAAAAAATAAAAAACAGAAAAGGTGGAGAAGATAAATTAAAAACAAAATTAAAAAAAAAGTTTTTTTGGGGGGGAGGGGTTTTTGGTTGGCAGTTCTTTGTATT